TATATATATATGGATCTATAGATATATATCTATATATCTATATATTACTATATATATATATATAGCTAGATAAAGAAAAATATGAACATGCATGTACCTATACTTTTGACATTCACATAAGTAAATGCCACAAAGGAAACTTAAAATTGTTCTTGTGTTCAAGTATACTTCATATACACAGAAAAGGTTTGTTTAGATTCTGTATGTACTTGGATATACTAAAGACATGTGCTCGATATTGGGCTTGTTGTATGATGCTGTGATACATGTTTTATTACGTCCGGGCGTTGTATCTTCAAACCATGCAGTCTCTCGACCAAAGTATCAGATTTCATCTACGCTAGGATAATTCCAGTTGCTTGAGCTGAGTTGAACTTGCATGTCCTTTGTTCGTTCGACACTTTTATCGCATCTCTGTATGCGCAGGATACAAATAGAGTATAGATAAGTCAATGGACACTCTGTCTCTAGTACAGTGAATGAGACGGGGGGTAGTAGAGATTCAACCCAAAACACCGAATGTTTGTGTGCACGAATCAAATATCAAAACATAGTTGGCGATGGGCTTACAATGCCAGATAGACGATGGCGTATATGATTCGTTTACGTACGGAGGTACAGGCTCACACACACAATGGTCACACCTTGTCCCTCCTGTCCTTCTTATCGCGTTTGCTTCCGTTGTGATCCTTGTGATCTCTACCCAGCTTGCCGTCTCTAAATTCCTTGACAGGCTTACACTCCTTGGCGTCCTTGTCTTTGTCGCCTTTTGTGTGACGTTTAAACTTCTGTAATATTTTATTCCTGTCGCCATCCGTACCTCCCGTGCTGCTGTTGCTGGGTCCTCCAGCCTCACTCACTGTGGGTGAGTTCAGGTCTGCCACAATACTTGAATACCTGGAGATGTGTATTAGTATTGTACAATATTAGCATTAAAACTAACATATCAATATTATATGATATTTATATTAATGTATTAATATTATAGAATATTAATATTGATATTAATGCGTTAATGTTATATAATATTGGTATTAATATATGAATATTATAGCACTAGTCAGGGTGAGAATCCAATCAACATGTCCTAAGAAGTGCCGATCTCAGATGAATCTCTCAGGCCTAGGACCTCTAATTCTATTCTTGATGATTTTGGATAAGCTTCTTGTCCAAGTAGATGATCATGCAAGAAATGAGTGTTTTAAAACGAGGTTTTGAAGATAGGGTCTATATTGCCCCACCAATGCCGCCCAGGCATCTTCGTAAACTACACACACGCGTACTCATCTTGTACACACGTCTTTGTCTAAAGACACATCAGCATACTGTGGTACTACTACACACACAACCCAAACTCACTACGCACAAGCACTCTGATACCCAGTGGACCAAAACGCAACTACGGCATAGGTGCATACGGTGTGACCTGCACACACCAACACTCATGTGGCGACTACGACAACCACCACACATGGCGATCAGTGTCTGAGAAGTGGGCGTGCGCATGGCACCTTCCATTGGACACACACACGCTGCAACAATAAATAGCAGGGACGGGTATGGAATAAATGGCAAAAAAAATGTTTGTTGCAAACAAACATACAATAATATAATAATGTTCATTGCAAATAAACATATTATATTATGACAATGTTCATTGCAAATAAACATATATTATGACCATGTTCATTGCAAATAAGCATATTATATTATGACCATGTTCATTGAAAACAAACATACAAAACTATACATGGCCCGTTTAGAATATATAGCTACACAAACCTCACAAAGCGGACACGGAAGTAGATACACACACAGACATTGCACAAACAGATTACGTAAGTGATGAAGGCAGCACCAATGGAGTCAATCACCGGAATGAGAATATTATGGACGAAAGACTACGGCGATTTGTACTTGAACTCGCACATGTTGCCACAGATGATACAATACATGGGACTACTACTCACACAACCCCTCAGCAACACGCACAATGCAGCACAACCACGTCCACTCAGCACTACAAACGGGCACGGTGGCTGCGAATTTGTCATAGTTCGCTTTCGTGAAACGCACCGTTTGTGTTCAGAGGAATGTCCCGCCGATTGCAAGTCATCGAACGTCAAAGCCTCGGCTGATGTGTGGTGTTGCATGTCATCTGTCGGCGCATTCGCCTGTGAGGGTGGGCTGTCATTTGGGTGGTACGTCGTGTTCTGTGTCATCCCATGCACATCAGAGGATGTCGAGCGTCGTCGTTCGTGCGCGTGTGCTTGGGCTGAGCTGTCTAAGATGATTCCTGGCGATGAAGCCGTCGAGGGTAAGGCATTGGTGCTGTGTGGTGTGATGACTTTTGTAGCTGAGTTTCTGCGCGGCATCTCTCTGTCTCTGTCGTTTAAGCTGCGCACAGTGGATGGGATAGTGGGAGGGAAGTCAATCAACACACACACATACACACTATCATAATGGGAAGTAAGTCAATTAACACATTCTGTCTATCACAGTGGGAAGTCAATCAACACATATACGCACACACTATCACAATGGAAAGTAAATCAATAAACACACTCTATCACAATGAGAAGTAAGTCAATCAACACACTCCTTCTATCACAGTTGGAAGTCAATCAACACACACACGCACAATCTATCATAATGGAAAGTACGTCAATTAACACACTCTCTCTATCACAGTGGGAAGTCAGTGAACTGTGCCCGATTGTGCATTCACTAGATTCAAAACAGGAGATACAAAGGGAACACTAAAGTTTTGGGTTTCGTAGTTTTGGGGTTATAAGGAATTAGGGTTTTGGGGTTTTAAAGTACTAGGGTTTTAGTAAATCGGTTGGCACTGCACGTGTATCTATCCGTAGCACCGTAAATTATTGAGTTTAGTAACTTTCCCCCCTAAACTAAACTTACTCGTCTGACAGGAGCGGTGCAGCCCACACGTCAACATTGCTTTGCCTGGGTGAGATGCTCCGTAACTTATTGAGGACCACTGATTGGACACTGGGCTTAGTGTGTGAGCCAGCACGAGAGGACTGCAGATATATCAGAAAGATCCTCGGTTATTATAGGGTTTGGGGGTTAAGGGTTCAAAAAAAACTTAAAACCCTACAACCTAAATCGATTCACGGCGAGTCGACCCTGTTGAAGGGGCGCAGATGCATGCGTGGCATACGTACGTCATAGCTGGTACAAACAACACTGAGCAACTGACGTGGACAGAAACGCACACTGCCACATACCGACATGATCGGTCTACAACGTTGGCTGGATGCCAAGTGCTTACCAAATGATGACTAATGTGCACAGCCGACACCCTCAGAAACTTAGAAACAATAACCGACACTTCCCAAACACTCTTCGCTCAAGGAGGGACTAAAGAACACACAACCAATGGGCAATGTTACGAAGATGTGGTGTGCAGAAGACACTGACTGTGACCTTTGCCAGAAAGAACCAAACACTAGCCAACACGTGCAACAAAGGGGTTGAGGGTTTAGGGTTTTAGGGTTTCAGGGGTTTAGCGTGCAACAGAATCCCATCTGCAGATACAGTCGACAGTGTTGTAATGGGCAAAAGATGAGCAAATGGAAGACCAATGACGAGTTGGTACATGTTTATTACATATTCAGCAGCTGAAGGGATGTGACTGAGCACAGGTGATTTGAATCTTTTTTCCTAATTAAGTTGCTCACTCTTTTGAGAATACTTTTTTAGTGTGCTACTATTCAAACACACAGAAACATAAAGTAACTCGGGCGACTACGTCCTGATGACATGTCTGTTGTATCACTGTGTGTTACTGTACAAGGACCAACACTATACACGGATGCACAAGTCTGTATGGTGGCATGTCTGTAGTATCACAGTGTGTTACATTGCAAGGACTAACATCATACATGCATGCAAAAGTCTGTATAGTGGCATGTCTGTAGTATCACTGTGTGTTACATTGCAAGGACTAACATTATACATGCATGCACAAGTCTGTCCACGAGACGAAGCCACCGATATATTCACATCAAACCCTAAACTTCACAGACCAGTCACACGAAGTATATCTCAGCACAACGATCAACGGCAAGGTCAAACACGCCTCACACTACGATTCACCCAACAACAGATGGTGCAGTGCTGGTGGATGCAAAGGCGTATAGTTGAGCGGTTGCCTTCTGCTGAGGCAGCAAACATGATATATTTATCAATATAAATATAAATA